TTTTTTTTTTGGTTTGCCATGTTCTTCTTCCAAATGCTTGACAATTAAAAAAGTTGTTACGACAGACTCCGGGAATGAGATGTGGAGTGGGGGTGGGGGGGGTGAAGGGGAGTAGTCTGGTGACTGTTAGGGAAAAATAACCCCGGGTGAAATGAGGGTAGACATGGCCTTGGAGAATGCTGGTAGGATTACCTCTGAGGGCATATTTTTGCCCTCATTTGCCTCATTTGCCCTATATTCATTTATCAGAGCAAGTGAATATAGAGGGGATCAATTTGGATGTGGGCGATTTCTTGTACTTTAGGGTGGCCCAAAAAGGAGTTCTGCGTGGGAAAGGTCGGGCATCCGTACTTGGAGCTGAAGGATGCATGTCCGAACCATGCATAGGACAGGGGAATGCTGAGAGAGGAAGCCATGCTGAGCTTATACCGAGCTATATAGCACTTGGGTTTTGGTCACCTGGTGTGTATTTCGACCTGACGGTTGGAAACTCCACTTAAGTAGGTGCTCTAAGGTAAACTCCGTGGAAAATACCAGTGATGGAAATAGGACAATGTTTCTCACAACTGAAATCCGTTGATTTACTTTCTCGCACGTGGCTTTCTCCCCACCCCCCGCCACCTTGCGTTTGATCAGCTATTCCAGGTTACCCCTCTCCATAGCTTCCGCTGCCATGTCGAAATAAGCATAGAGGCAAACTTCTCTAATTGGCATTTGTCTGGCATTTGTGTGTACTCCTACAAATTAGGTTTCCTGAGAACCCTGATCTTAATCCTGCCGATAATCGCATTATGTACTCTGAGATGATCTAGTGGTTTTACTTAAACGGCCAGGATTTATTGAATGTCAGATGCCTGTAACTAACTGTTTTCTCTTCTGTTAATAAATGAATGCTTACTTCCACGAGGGCATAGTATTACCTGAGGCGATGGTTTTTTATTCACTGATTTCGTTTTTCTGGCTTCTAATGGAGTAATGACATTTAGAACCCTTTGGTACTGGCTGTACAGGCGAATAAAATTTCCTTCTGAATAAAAGAAATGGAATATAAATATTTCTTTCCTGCTGTGACTATTAAAGAAATATAAATATTTCTTTCCTGCTGTTCGAGTGGGATCCTAAGACTGAAAAGGCTCCCAAAGCCAGCCACAGTGGGAAAGTGGGCACAATATGATGTTGATTTTCATTCTTTGAGTTATTCTGTGGGAGCTGAGGATCTGAATTTTTTTTTTCTCAGATTATACACTTTTCTAATAAGTTCTGTCCAAAGGCAGGAAAAATAACTTCATTATGTGTTCTTTAAATACATTAAAAAACAAAAACAACACCTCAAACCGCGTGTCACTCTAAATGGGCTTAACCCATCATACATTCAAATGTGGATTCATCACAAGTAGTGAACCCCCTGGGGGTTGTTGGGTCGTGGGTTCCTGAGAAAGTTGTGAAAGCTAGAGTCTCTGCTTTTATAGGATTTTTCAAAATAAAGCACTTACATTGACTCCTGTGCCCTTCTGGTGCTTTTCTGTCAAAGATGACAGGTTCGTAGCGTGTGGGGGCAAAAAGTCCATTTCTTTCCTGACCAAAACGGTCTTCTCGGCTTCTGTTGGTCGCTGTGGGCGGGGCAACTTGGGAGTATCCTGTTTTACCTCACTGCCTTCCCTCTGGGCCCACGTTAGACTCAAGTTGGGGCAGGGACATCGTTGGGGCGGGGTGGGGTGCATGGAGGTGGTAGAGTCTGGTGGTAGGAGAGCAGAAACACGTTCTGAAAATGTTACCGCACGTAGGGCTTGAAGCATAGGTATGATCTGGAGCGCGGCGCAGACTAACTGCTGGACTGACATGGATGGTGGCTGGTCAGAGGGATTGGTTAGAGCCCGGTGTCAGAGTCCAGTCTTAGTTTTGATCTCCTGTTGGGTTCGTCGTGTTGCTCAGCCCCAAGTCATACGGCTGAGTGCAGCCGCCTTAGTTTGCACCAGATGAGAGCGAGCTGCTCTCTCTGAACGCATCCATTATCTCTCCTGGGGAGCTGACTTGAGTTTATTCTACAAATGGTGGGACAAGAGCACCGTCTTTGTCGAGGGAAGGTAGCCTGCTGGGAACAAATTCGACGAACGGCGCGGGGGATTCTGTATGCTTTTGGCGCTCCTTGCAAGTGTCTTCTAATCACTGGTTTGATTTCAGACTCCGGCTTTGAACTTGCTGTGGGAGAAGTGTTGCGGTGATAATGCGGTGGTTCGAACGGCCTGCTGCGAGGCTCTGGTGGCACTCGTCGCCCAGGATCACGCAGAGTTCAGCTATGTGCTCAATGGGATACTCAACCTGATTCCGTCGACCAGGTCGTCTTTCCTTCCCGTTTGATCAGCGAAACACTTACATTTTTAGAAAACAGATTCACGAATTTGCCATTAAAGGTCCACATTCACCCTACTTGCCAGTTGATTTTCTTTCCCTTCAAATGTCATGCCGTTGATATTTCGTAGGCGCTGATTTAAACTCTATCATTGTGGAATTTGTGGTCAGTTGCTGTCTGTAAGTTTCAGGGCTCTGCTTAAATGTGTCATTGCTTTAAAAAAAATTTTTATTTATTTATTTATTTATTTATTTATTTATTTATTTTTTTAAATTTTTTTTTT